CCCAGTGGGAGGTTCCTCATTAGTTTTCTTTTAGGTCAGCTGGCCAGTGTCTTCGGAGTCTTCGATTGTGCTGCGGTTCAACGAGTGGCTGTAGGATGTCGTTTGGGTGATTTGCTAGTTTGTTGTGGTGTGAGGTACTTTTTTCTCTGATGACGTCCTTGATGTATGGTATATTTAGGTCTGTATGTAACGTTTGGTTGTTTACATACCAGGGTGCATTTATTATAATTCAAAGTATTTTTGATTGGCTTCTCTGGATTACTGATATATTTGATTTGCTGGCACAACCCCAGAGCTCAATTCCGTAAGCACAGATTGGTTTGATTATTGTCTTATAAAGCAGGACTTTGTATTCTATGGATAGGTTGGATCTTCTTCCATTTAACCAGTTTAGCTCCTTGGTTTTTAAGTCTATCTGCTTGTGTTCTTTGATTACATGGTCTTTCCAAGTGAGTCTACTATCCATATGGATTCCGAGATATTTAACGCTTGGTGACTGTGGGATATTTTGTATTTATTTGAAGTAGAATGGCTTTAAAAGTAATTTTTATGAATACTGACTTCTAAAATTTTCCACATCTTCAGAAAATTTAGAAATAGGGCAGTCATAACATCAATAATCAATATTACATTTATTATAATTAAACAATATGAGGGGTGGGGGGGGGGCACAGAACTAAATGAAAGTCAGAACTGGGCCACGAGCAAAAGAAGGTTGAGAACCACTGACCTAGCTGACCTGCCTTGTGAGAAGCGTAGTAATGTATTAATTGTCATTCAGACAGTGACAGTGATGGGGGACAACAAAGCATTGCAGCCACAGACAGTAAAAGTGACAGTAGCTCCGACGATAATGCGCGTAATAACATTGCGCATAGTAACATTGTGGGGACAGCAAAAATCTAAAAAAATCTAAACCCTCATTCAAAATTGAAATACAAAGCATTTCTGATGAATGTGGCAAAGGCGTGGGCTACAGTCCAGATGGTGGCGGCAGAACCAGGGTCACACAAAGACTTAGTACGACCGGGCCCATCAACTCCCACCCCACGAAGGTCTCATGTGGACCCCCAGGGCGACTCTCGAGTGATATGCAGAAAAATACCCTCGTAAAAAATGTGACGAGTGAACATTCCAAGGGGAAGAATCCTTCTAGGCAATATCGTGTTTGCACAGTTCACAAAAAAAAAGTATGTCTACATTTGCAAGTTCTTTGTAATGCCACTTCACAAAGGGGAATGTTTCCAGAAATATCACACCCTCAAGCACCTCTAGGAGCATTGGTAAGTGTTCTCCAAAAATTTTAGTTCAAAAAATTAATTAGGAGATTTTATATTAATTTTTAGAGTGAACAAGTTAGGGTAGTATGTTTAAAAATTCTGATCCCCAGGGTGATTTAAATATTTAAATTGCTGGTCCGCAAAGTGTTAAGAATAAGCTGCATCTAATGTTCAAGGTTTTTCCAATGTTTCAGTGAACATTGCAGTTGCTGTGTTCAGGGTTATTGTTTTGCAGGGATTGGAAACTTTATATAGATCTGGCAGTGGACAGGGCGCACGAGGTGAAGGCAAACATTCTAGGTTTTCCAGTATTTAAGCATAGTTGCCAAGGGAGCCAGGACTACACAGTCAGTATATAGACTGGCTATGGGTCAATGTGGATGAGGCACCATAGTTTGAGCCCCAGGAAGGGTAAGATTTTTCTCCTCTCCATGTAGTCCAGGCCAGTTCTGGGGCCCATCCAGCCTCCTATTCAATGGCTACTAGGGGATCTTTGCCAGGGGTAAAGCGGCCGGAGCGTGAAGCTGACCTCTCACCTTCAACTAGTGCCAAGGTCAAGAATATGTGGATCTATACATCCATTCTCCCATATGTCTTCATGGCATAGTGCTTAACTAGTCAAACACAGGGAAATATTTTATGTGCACTTGCCATTTTCTGGGTTGACATCTTTGGGGAGGGGCATGAAAGCCCTTTACATCCACCTCTCATTCACTACTCACTGCCATTTCTAAGCTTCCCACAGAATTAGCTCTACAGAATTTGCCGTAATGTTGGAAAACCTTGAAGTATTCGAGGCAGCATGATCTCAAAAGCCGAAGTTATCAAAAATATTGTTAATTCACCATGATCTTCGCTTCATCATTTTATACTTTTTGCCTAACACTGTTAGACAGACCAAATAGGCAGTTCACGTAGCAAAAAGCATGGGTGAAATGAGAACCTAGATAGAATTCTGCTTGGAAATCCCAGAAAAAGAAACCACTTAGGAGACCTCTGAGCAAATGGGAAAACAATATTAAAATTTATCTCACAAAAATTGGATGTGAAATGTGGACTGGATGAAATTAGACAGAGATAAGGTTCAATGCTGGACTTCTGTGAAAATGACAATGAAAGTGGGGTTTCATAAAAGTACGAAATTTCACTAGCTGAGTAACTATTAACTGTTCAAAGAACACCTCACAACAAGGGATCTTACCTTTCTGGTAGCACTGACTACACACTCGAACTGGAGTCACCCATCCCCTTTCAGGAACTGGCATAACATGGTTTGAACAGTCTTCACAAAAACCCTCTCCACATGCTCGACAATGATGTTTACTTGCAGATGCTGCAAACCACTTGCTGCAACTATGACAGTTCTAAACCACAAGGACAAAGCACACACTCAGCATGATGGCAATAATTTGATCAAAGCTGTTCACAAAAAGTGAAATGTACATTGTCTGAAGAGAACTGTCTTCTGGGATGCGATGCTATGGAGCCCTGTATAAGTTCACAGATGTTTTAGAGGAACAATCTGTTTCCATCTTCAGGGTCAAAGATGTGCTATGCATGCATGCAAGAAACAAGAAGTAAGGTGCAATCACATTGCACAGTGAAATATTTTACAAGAGATCTAAGCCATTTACATCTGTTCATGGAAGTTAATCCCACAGAATTTATCAATGAAGAAGAGTTTCAAGAAATGCAACATCTCAGACTGCACCTGATGGGTAAGATCTTCTTGCTTCAGAATGTGATCATGACATGAGTTCCACAAGACAGTCAGAGAGCAGTGACAAGGGACCATTGTGCACTTTTGTTACATTTTAAACTGTGATCTTTGTTTTCTTTACATGCTTTTAAGATTGCCATTAAGTTATGGCAACTTCAGTACTGATGCTGGACATACTAAAACCATTTTACAGACCACTTTACCAGACAATATTATTGTCATGTGTAGGGTGGTACGTGCGATGAAAATGATGGGTTCTTGTTCAGATGATTGGATTTATTAACACTTTGGTTACAACCTCTCTTAATCACACTTAAATTCAGGCACTACTACACTATCACTGATTTACACTCTCTCCAGTTCAATGCTGCACATGCACTAGGATTCTCTGTCTTCACTATTCATATAGCAATGGATCTCAACACAGAACTGTAAAAGTCTCACTAAATTACACATAAACAAAGTCTTCAAATCACACTTTAAAGCCTCACAGGCCGACCTTCTATATTCTTCTGTAATCCTGGTTCCAATATGCTCCATTCACGTGTTTCTGCCGCTACTATTTCTCTCTCATAACTCTAACTGCAACTCAGAACTCAGGACTCTGTCACTCACACTCACTGTCACTTCTAGTTCCGACTCGATCTCTTCTCGTGATTCCGCCGCTACTATTTCTCCCTCATAACTGCTCCCAACTGAACTATGACACTCGCTTATATAGCCGAAGGACAGCCAACACATCATCGTAAACACATTTCGCGTGATTGATACCCACCACTGTTGTGTGACGTTACTGGTTACTGCACACACAGGAAATATGTCATGTGACGGCCATGTACTGTTGATGTGTGACATCACAGCAAGCTCACTGCATAGCAACGGTCCATCCACAGACATTCAAAATACTGTATACATGCCACGTTATTAAAAACAATATTAGAATAGTACATTTCATTTGCATTGTATTTCTTTATTCCTAATATTTTCATAATAAATTTAGGCAAGAATCTAAAGTATGTTTACTGCAAACTTTTAACAATTTCTTCATCACATCTTTTTCCTTAATTCTACTTCCAAAAATTTAGCTGCAGGTCATATATGAGAGAATGTGGTACATGAGTAAATATGTTATTATGGCAATTCAGAAGGAATGAACAATGGCTTATGTACCTTTATTTTATGGTTTGGCCTCCAATATTTGGGTGCAATCTGATCGGCAACCCATGATGATATAATGCGTGTAGGTGGCGAGCCAACAATGGCAACAGCTTCTGATATGTATGTCATACCATCCAAGACCTTCTGGGCAGCATTCTGATTTGCTGCAGCTATTGATCCATTCTGCCAAGAATGTTGAATAACAAAAACCTTATAACACAAGCCTGAAGAGACCTCAAAATTAATTTTGTTTAATGCTACACATTCACACCTCGAATAATGGGGAATAATTCTGTGTATGTGATGATGATAGGATTCATAATTTTACAGTATATGCCAAGGTATTGATACTGATTCAGAAGATGGTTTACTTAATGACACTGTTAATAACCCGAATTATATAGCATTGAAAAATAAGGATATCAGTGAAGAATGGACTGGAATGAATGTGGAAGGAAGCAGTCTTAGCCTAATTTCAGAACTCATTCAATCACCTCCACCTTTAATGCAACTTATATGCCCAAGTAGTGAGAACATATACAAAAAAGGGGCACAAACATGGACAGTGCAAAAGGAAAATAACACAGAATGGAGATACAGTTTTATCCTCAGACACAGCCATTTTAGTGTCAACAATGATATGTAAGGGCATGGAAATACATTGACTTACAATCTAGTGAAGTGCGACCGTTTCAAAAAGCGAAAAATTGCGTGAAGAAGGCCATGTAGGAGTCAAACATGTAGCAATTGATTTTAAAGTCATTTAAAACTGAAGAGGATTGTGAACAGTTCTAAGTTGCATTAAAGATGGAGGTGAATGAGTGAGTGATATATCAATGCAATAGAATGCCCAAATATAAAACTAATTTCAGAAAGTACACTGGCCCAGAAGGACCAAGGAAAACCACAAAAAGTCTAAGTCAGGACAGATGGCCTCTGAATTGAGATCTGAACTGAGGACTTCCTGAATACAAAGCAGGAGTGTCACCCATTCAACTGTGAAATTTGGTTAGACAGACCAAAGACAATGATAGATATGTACAGATTTTCTAGCTTACAATTTAACCCTCTGACTGAAAAGACCCACCTCCTGGAAACATCAAGGCTGCTTGGGGGTAAATGTGAAAGGAGAATGTGCACTACTTCCTCACACCCAGTGCAAATAATGTAGAAGCCTATTCTTTCCTCTGAATATCTGTATATCGTACTTGCTGCCACATATGGATGGAAATACTGTACTCGGAGATTAATACGGAGCCACTCTTCAGAGGTGGAAGTTTTAATGCAAGTACATAGCTGATCTAATTGGCTTGTAGCATGTACAGGTTTTAAGGCAGTACCTTGAACATATTTCTGGTGCAGTCCATGACTATTTACTTAGTTAGTTAGTTATTGGAGAGGGTAGGTTTCCCCATGCACTGAGACCTGTATTGGTCCATTGTGCTTCCCTCTATGATTTCTACCAGTCTCTATTTCCTACCGATACTGGTGCTTACCATCAGTCCCGCCCAGCCAGCGAGACCGGCTCTACTACCTGAGAGGTATCTATAATGCTTCCCCCACGTCCCAGAGGTATTAGAGACTGCTGTTGGGTGGGAAATGTCCTTGAATTTGGCTCAGTGTCCTCCTTTGGAAATATGAGGTTCTTTTATGTGCCGTAAAGCTACGACACGAGACCCACGGCTTAAAGTCCCTCCCGGAGGACTTGTTACCTGAATTTTTCCGCCCTTAAAAATTCGACGACCTCCGCCGGGTATTTGAACCCGCGTACTACGAGTCATGAGGTGGGAACGTTACCTCTAGACTACGGAGGCTGCTCCATGAGTATTTAACTATCACCCTTTGTTATCTTGTGATACAAGTGGTTAAAGGCATTTCTGTTCCCTATTTTTTTCTCTACTTTCTACAGGTGCACAAGTACACTGATGATATACAGACACAGTGAAATGCAGGACATAGTTGGTTAAAACAGTTGCCAATATCATTTCTGTCTGACGGAATGAAAAGGCTGGATGAGTTCTGAAAAATATATGAAGAAGTTAGAAATGTTACAATAAAAAACAGTGTTGGGTTTCTAGAATAAACTGTTTCGGAGCCAAACTTAAATTCACCTTACTTACTTACTACTAACCTTGTAATTGTATTATATTTTAGCAAATACATTCCAGAAAAGAAGCAGGGGCAATGCTGTAGCCTGAAGTTATCAACCAAAACTGTCCATTGGGTTGTGCCAGAGCTCATAGCTCAAAGCATTTAGTTGCTTTCTTCCTACTGCAGTGGCCTGGGTATGAACCAACACAAGGTCATGTGAACAAAGTGGCACTGGGTAGGGTTTGTGCCAATACTTTGGCTTTCAGTGCCAATTCTCATTCCACCGGCACTCTAAATTCATTCATCGGTGTATCATTGATGCTATATAGTCTTGATACTGAGAGTATCATGAGAAAAAGAGAAAGAGTGAGGGGTGGGGGCAAGGAACTGACTGTGATGATGATTCTTTTCCCAGCAAAAATAACTTACGCCAGGCCAGACATGTTGAATCTCTGTTCTTACTGCTGCATCCTCTGGATTCTTGTTGCCATACCAGTACTGACGACTCCGATATATTTCCCCACAGTATGGGCATTCAATGACATATCTGGAAACAAACATACATCAACAGTGACAAAATAAAAGCATGTAGCAATATACTTACTATCTTTGAAAGAGTCAGATTGTGAAACAGTGTAATGGTATAATAATTAAAATTTCTCTTCACAATGTGCTCTGTCATACATGATAAATTATTACTTTTCATTTCACAATGGCACAGATATGTGGTCTGTATCATATTAAAGGGGTGGTTATACTGGCCCTTGCATTGTAATTGTGATATACTGTGCATTTCCTTGATAAATTTAACAATCTAGGAATGAAATACAGAGCTCTCTTTAATGGGGAATTCTGGTGGTCATATGGCTCCATTAAATGGGTCAAAAGTGAGGAAATCTTAAATCAGCTCAAACCTCAGTTACATAAAAAAAAAGGGTAAAGGTATCCCTGTAAGAGGGCATTGAGGCCCATACGGTTGAGATGTTGAGGCTCCCACATTTTCTAGACAATCGGCTCATAGATGGCAGTAAGGTTCTCAGCCTTACGCACTAGCCACCGTTTACCCTCAAGAATATTCCAGGTAATCATTCTGTTAGAGGCTGAGTTAACCCCAGGGCCATAGTGCAGCTGGAAGGATTAGGTAAACTGAAGAAATCCAATGACCTCATCAGGATTCGATCCTGGGACCTTCCAGCTTGCAGCATAGTGCCTCAACCAACTATGCTACCACGTGCCCCCCCTCACAGTTACATAGCCTTTTTTATCATTGTTATTAGCACCTTATGCAGAAGGAACTATTCATTAGTCCTAGTTTCAACAGATTCTTGTGACAGTGTTCTACAAGTAGCCCACAACACTGTATCAGCTGGGTTATATTTAAAATATAAATAATATTTAAATTACTATTAGCCTTAGTAATTCTAACGGTTCCACGGCTTTCTTTGCAGAAGGTCACTAAAGCAAATCCTTCACAGTACATATGATGCAAAACATACCCTGACCATGCATATTTGGCAAGTCCAAACCATGATGCATCAGTAGAAGAAATTAGCTTTGGAGTAACCACAACTTCCTTTCCATTGCTATGGCAGGTTTTACAGATGTATGTACAGTTCTCAAACTTGTGCTGGTACCTGTAACGAACACAGTTTTATATTCTTTGTTTCAGGTCTTCCTTCACATCCTGATGTTTACATTAGCTTGGAACTGGGAACAGAGTAGATCACCTACATGTGCTTCTTTTGGACTTCACCCATCATCTGGTATGTAAAAGACAAAAGACCACAACGTTTCGGTCTTCGTCGTGGTCTTTTGTCTTTTACATACCAGACGATGGGTGAAGTCCAAAATACGCCAAAAGAAGTACAGTATACACCATCGTCAGAATCCTTTCAAGTCCACCTACATGTGGTCTATCCTGGATACTGTTAATATTTTCAACATCATGCAAAGAAAGATGAAGTTGTTACACTGCAAATGGAAGCAGCTCCTGATGCACAATACAATAATATACTACTTTCAGCATTTGGATTGAGAAAGTTGGCTTAAATGGTAAAAGCAAAAATAAATAAATAAATAAAGCCATCCCGGTAACAGTCTGTGAAGGTCCATACGTTTGTGAGATGTCGAGGTTCGCACATTTGTGTAGACAATCAGCTCACAGATGGCAGTAAGGTTGTCAGCCTTATGTGCTGGCTGCCCTTTAACCCCCAAGAAAGTTTCCTGGTACTCATCTGAGTCAGCCCCAAGGCCATAGCGTGGCTGGAAGGGTTAGGTATATTGAAACAAATCCAATAACCTCATTGGGAACAGAATTCGCAACCTTCCAGCTTGTAGCATAGTGCTTCAACCAACTATGCTATGGTGTGCTCCAGCTTAAATGTTAACACTTCTGATTTCTGCATGGGACATGCCTAGTTCCTGATTGCCCCTTCCATGCATTCCAATTTATTATTCACAGAAGACGAGGAAGAAGACGTAAGAAGATGCTGGATGACCTTGGGGACAGAAGAGGGTACTGTCATTTGAAGGAGAAAGCTCTAGATCGCATTAAGTGGAGGAATTGTTTTGAAAGAGACTGTGGACCTGTCGTCTTGACAGATTACTGATGATGATGATGATCCCCTCATGCAATGCTACATGTTCTGAGTTACAACACTGTTACATAAATCACAGACAGCCTTAAGTATCTGCAACCTCATAAATAGTTCTGCCCTTAGGAGACTCTACAGGGCACAGCATTTCCTGAGAGGTGGACAGTAGCTCAGCTGCTCAAGAAATATATTCTTTACTATTTTGCTTATGTCATTCACCTTGATACTCACATTGTACAGATACAAATATAACATTGCATATATAACCACATTACAGATATCATAATAAGGGTGTCAGAAAATAATTTTCCTTGTATTTCATTAAGTATACAAGGCGGAAAAATTGAAGTAAAAGTTGTATTATGTATTAGATTTCCTTAGGAAGAGCTATCCTCAAGCACTGGAGGTTAGCTCTTTCTATGGGACCCAAATGAGTGTGTGTCTTTCTTTCTCTCACCTGAGGGCAAAAGCAGATCCAGTTTCTGAAATATTGTTTTCTAGTTCCTAGAATACTGGAAAATGGAAAAAGTCCAAAAACCCAGTAATTCTGAGTGTTATGGACCATCATCAGAACCCTTTAGAATCAACATTCCCACAGGCTGCACTGTCCACCTGCCTTATCACAGCAAGTGTTATACAGAAATGGTGGGTGACAAATGTAACTTAAAAAGTTATCACCATGTTGTGGACCACATAAATACTGCCAACCTTGGAATTTTCCTTCAACAAGTACACAAGGTTAGGCTTTTGATTTCAGTTTTGAAAAGATCAGACCTTCAGTTTTGTCTTTAAAATAAATATTTAAAGAACTTTCTGAAGCCAGGACCTGGGTTTTACTTTTACATGGAAAATTCTACAGCTGGTAGAGCTAACATGGTGGACAACATAGTGGTAACTTTTACAGTTACTTTGGTCATCCATTTATATATATTGTGACATGTTGCGCAAAGCCGAGCCCCCCCCCACACCAGCAGTGACGCGGCGGGTGAGTCAGCGCTCCCCTCCCACCCCTCAGCGGTAACATAACGCTCGCGTAATAGGCGAGTAATCACCCCGCATCCTGGCAGCTATGTGCGGTGACGTCACGAGCTGAGCCGAAGAGAGCCGAGCGGAGCCGAAGATAGCCGAGCCCCGCAACCTGGTAACTATGCAAGGCGAGTCAACAGGGGTGATGTAACAGGATGACGTGGCTCTCATTACGCAACCGACCAC